ACGCGTCCCTTTCCCGGAAAACTCGGCTGTCCCTTTCTCTTTATCGTGGAAATTCCGCCCATTTACTGTCTGAGATTGTTAGTGCTTCGGACGAGAGAAGGAGAGATAGGGAGGAGAGTCGGGCAGGGCAGCCGGCAGCAGGTGGTCTGCCCCACGGTTTTACGAGCGGTCACCAAAGGGCAGTATACCGGATGTCGTTTACATGCGAATCGCTCATCGGGGAGAAACTCCGGCGCGGATAAACTCTGGATTTCCGCGGGCCCGTAATTTATGCTAACTTACCGATTCCACGTCGTTTCGGTGAGGGCGATTGGTTTCAGCCCCCCCTCCCCATCATGAGATTCGAACGCTTACCCTATCTGGAATTGGATTTTTAATGCTGCGCTTCGTTCCTTGTTTGTCCATCGATCGTGTAATCGAATTTAAACTACATTTGGGTTTAGTTAGGTATAATGTGGTCTGATAATATTTTATAAACACAAGCGTCTGTAGGGCACTTACAATTAGATTCGTATCGAAAGCAGCTGCCTCAAGCAATAATTTTCCAAGCATACTTTCTCCATCCATTTCGAGACACGCTATAGACAAATGTTCCGAAAGCTGTTGCACTCCCATAGGAGTTGGCAAGACAGTCACCATCGATCATAGAGCAGCGTGTCCCCTATAAGACGGATCGTCGATGGGTACCATCGAAACGATCTCGTTATCGACGCTAGCTGTTCCATCTCCATAGGAATTTTTTTTATGGCACTTTGAATTTCAAAGTCTTTCCCATAAGCAGGAAAGCCTGGCAGAGTCGCGACAGTCCTCTGGAAACGGGGGGATGATACGTCAGCCTTGAGTTCATCAGCGGAACGAGTATCCATCGTGAATACTAATGCATCGTGATCGAGGATCGAGGGCTGGGGGGGTGGTTCGGTCCTCTTGTACTCGTGCTTGAGCGCCGATATAGTTGAACCACCCCCGTAATTTCGTGTCCGTCCACCGTTAGCCTGTAAATCCGACGAGGCTAAGACGATTCTTTCCGCTTTCCTCGCACGAAGTATCGTATTTCCATGTCCAAATAGTCTTTATGATCGTTATCCGAAAATGGCGTGGGTGAATAGCGAGAGGGGCGAAGGGAGGTGGAGGTTTCTTTTGTGAACTTGGCATGATCCGAGGGAGATTACGGGGGATATGGGAATATGAAATGGGGATTTTATTTTTGAGCTGGCAATATGATATTAGGACCAAGGTGGATTTTCTTCTATCAACCCTTTATAAGTAAACTTCTAAATTCTAAAAAAAAAAAAAAGGAATGCGAACGACAAGTGGAAGGTTGAAAAATCATGATTAGCGGTGGGGCGAAGAGAAACCGGAAAGAGGCAGCGTGGTCGCGCGAAGCAGCCACGTGCTTCCAGTCGAGCGTCGACGAAAATTACCGAACGCGGCCGAACTTGAGATTTCGTGTTGGCACCGGGTGTCGGAATGCTATGCCGTCAGTCGTAGGCGCGTGCCACGTATAGATAGGTCGTGTGTACGTTTATTCGTTCGCGTTCCGTGTTTACGACATTTTCCTTCTTCGTCCGTTAAACAAATACAATTACTTTCTATCTTTGATCGTAAATGAATAAATTTTTCGAGCGAACCGTTGATGCGTAAATACTTTTGTGATCATAAAACTTTTCGACAATTCATCGATTATAAATCAAGTGTATTTTTCTACTAAGTGGTGAGGCGTGATGCGGTGAAGGACACAGTCCGTTGCCAGAGTATCGTATTTCAAAACTTCAACGATGCGAGGCTGACCGTGAAACTGAGATGAAGAATCATTCGAGAACGTGCCGTTGGCAACAGCAGATCAGATAAGAGGTAGGAAAAAAAACCATTGTTTTCTTTAGTGTGGCCCGTTACAGTTTTCGGTTCGAATTGCCTTACGTTTAAAAAATATCGCATAGATGGTGTCGATTTCGATGTAATTTCCAAATACTTGACACGTATTTTTTATTATTGGTAATCGTTTACTTTAGAAAAACGAAAAGTACGATACAATTATTTACAAGTGCGTTTAAAAATTTGGGAACCACACTAATGTGGGAACCAAAGCATCAGCCACTTCCGGTTTTACAAAAGCCCTGGTGCTACTTGTGACGGTTATTTGCGTGCAAGAAAAAAATTGAGAGGGAAAACGTCGAGAGAAAGAAAGACAGTTGGACAGTCTTTGAAGATGCGCCAATTAGCGAGCAGGTTTTCAAGTCGGTGCGCGCAAAGTAGAGAAACCGAGGAGCCGGCATGGCACTCTGTGCCCGTGGCCCTTTTCACCATATCCCGCGTTGTGATTTTTAATTAGCCTCCGGTCCGCGATGCCCGGAACGCGAGATTAAAACGCCCTGCCGTGTATTCACTGTTGCGGTTTGGTCCTCCTGTTTCTTCCGCCGGAAAATACGATGAACCGTAGCGTGCACGCGCGATACGCTGTTTTGAGAACTTAAGTGAAAAGGGTCGTCTTCTCTCCTCGAGATACATGGAAGTTGCAAAGCGATGAAAATCAAAGTAACATTCAATTGTTGGAATTATTTCGACAGAGTGGGACAGAAATAAATAACTTAATCCAACCAAAACAATGCGTTTTTGACAGTATTTTGCATTTAATATTCAATTGTTTAACAGAGTAATTAATTTTAAGATCTCAAAACTTCAAGCTTTCATATTTCCACCCCATTATCTGAAAACTTTAGTAATTTAGCAACTGAAAAAATTTAACGTAAAATTTAACGACCCTTTTCTAAGATACTCTATAAAGCCGAAACGGTAGAAAAAGTTCGATAAGTCGGCGGTAAACTTAAAAAAGGAAGAAAGAAGAAGGGGCATCTGGCGGATCCCTGATAAGACAGAGGGATATCCAGACCAGGGGTAAAAATCAGCGTGGCGGCTTGGACAGTAGCGTCGGTTCGAGTTTCGACTATTTGTCCTCGAAAGACAAGATCCTAATGGGAAAGTAATCCCTTTCGGGTAAGCGGCGGTACAGATAAAGAGCCCGGGCGTAAGAGATCCGAGAAGATACTTTGGTATTGCATGCTCGCGGCAACCTGGATGAGGTTCTTCCAGATCAGGTCCTACGATAAGGTTCCCTCTTTTCGGAAAGCTCGCCAGGAATTTGTCTTCCACCATCCAGACGGCTGCTACATTTTCGAAAGCCTTCTAAAACGTTCCAGCCGAGATTAAGACCGGCCACGATAAATTACCACCGCAAACTTTGGAATTAACGTCATATTTTAAGGGACTTATCAAGAATTCAAGATCACTTGATAAAAATAATTAATTTATCAATTTGGATCTTTGATGAGTCTATTGCTTAACGTCTTACCCTACAACATCGTGTCATACGTATCAAATTCGGCTGGAACTTTTAGTATGGTTGAATTTTTAGTTGAATTCTAATTTTAATTTGCTCAGCCAAGGATCGTTGAATGTTACGACTGCATTATATTTCATTTTTCTTTATTTGTATTAAAATTGAAGCAACTAACATTTAGCTTTGACTGACACAATTGTCGAACAAATAGGCGAACGGGTTAAGAGTTATTCTTAATGCTTCAACCTCCATAACCATGGAGTCCGTAGTGTCTCTCTCTCCGTCAACTGGTCGGAAATAATAGTTGTCTCATCAGTCGGAAATGAATGCTTTAGATTAACACGATAAGCTGGTAAATGCGAACGATGCCTTAGATGTAATACCAAGCTTCAGGCAGCGGGGATCCCCGGCCGGTTGACGACTTCGTAACCTGAAGATTCGTCAACGTCAGACCCCATTAGCAGCAGCCCTTCGTCGACGCTCGACTCGCTAATTCCCTCTTACGCTGAATACGTTTGCCTGGTGCGAGATATGCTTTATACGGGTGTCGTTGCGATCGTCTTAATCAATGACCCGCGTGTGTTATTTTACAATTAGCAGCTACTAGCCGGTGATCGTTGATTTCCTATGAATTTCCTATGAATCATGTAAATCTGGTTTTTGGAAAATTACACGTTATAAACGATTCCCGCGATTTACAACCTAGCTGAAGTTTGTCGAGCGTCGAACACCAGTTACCTGTAACAGATGGGGAAAGTTGGCGTGATTCATTGGAAAGGAGGAAACGATAAGGGCCGAGAAAAAAGTGAAATTAAGAACGACCTGTTATTGGATCGAGGACGGGATTAGAAAAGACGGGGAAGATATATTGCGTCAAATATTTAACTTAGAAAGCGGCGAAGCGACGAAGGGTGGCGAGGGCGTATGAAAGGGATTCGCTCTTCAAGATCGTCGTCCCATCGATGACCGACAAATATACGAAAGATCCAATTACTAATGACCAAGTGGTTAAACAAGCTTGGCATCCTATGCTCGATGAGTCACATCCAATTACCAAGGGTCTTGTTTGGATATCATTAGAGATGAATAGAACCTCTAATTTGTTTAGATAGAATTTTGCAAAATCAATCAAACACGAATGATTCATGACGAGCCATGAATTTATCATAGCCTATACGTATAGGCAGAATTCCCTGTAGTAATAACATTATTTTTTTCGTGAATATCTCTCAAAGTAATCGAGTCCGACGTATAGCTTAGAGGAAAAAAGTTGTTTAAAACGTCGAATTGTGCAACATATTTAAAAATCATCGAAATCGGAGGGGGAGTAGCTTTTCTACAAGTTCCACCGAGATAAAAGACAGAAGCTCCGAGTGTCAGGTTTATGGTAAACCTTTCTGTCAAGGCTTCTGTCAAAAGTCAGCATCGAAACCGAGTAGCGACGCGGTTCACCCCTTTGGCACGTCCAAAAATAGTTGCGCCATCGTTGTGGCAGGTTTACAAAACGAACAGCGAAGGGAATATGTCCTTCGTCCTAGCAGGGGTGTAAGAACCGGTGGGGTAGAGGGAAGTGTATCGCTGCAAGATCGCGGGTTCGACTTCTATTTCGGTCGGTGCGTGTCGCGGCACGGTGCCATTCGTTTCGACGGGTATTTTTAAAGGTTTCCCCCTTCACTCCTTGGAATCTCCTTGTGAGGTATACGCGGCGCACAGGGGACCGTATCGTCCCGTGCAATATTTTCAACCTGCCGCCGCCCCTCGAGAGTTCCTCTTATTTCACCGACAATCCTCGTAATTCAGCGAAGCGACGCACGCTTTTACCCGCCGGAGGAAGAGCGGCGACTTTGTTGTGTCGCGAGCTGATGTTGACGCTAAATGTTATGACTTTGTCGCCGTGAAGACCGGTGCTTCCGTTGTCATGACACTGGATTTCATGTTGCGACACGGGGTGGATAAAAAGGGTCTAGATTGAGTTATTCTTATTCTTAGTTACAGAGAGACTTAAGTTGCACCTGATTATTATTATCTACTAGTAAAATATTTTGGACAAGTGGATTGGTAGAAAAAGGAAATCCAACCAATCAACAGAGTCGTTTGCGAGAACGTATATCGCCGGTGTCAGATTGATGTGCGCGAAGGTAGAAAGAAAAATGAGGGGGTGCATTCGAAGAGATTTCGATTCCCGTTGGATTTCCTTGTCAGTGGGCAGGTTTTTCCCTTGATTTCTCGATTTTCCTTCGCGACACCTTCCAACCGGAGGGTAAATATTTGATGTGATTTTTCATCCCCAACCCACCCCTGCTCAACCTTCAGATTCGCACTCTCGTTACTCCTCTCCCTTTTACTTTTTTCTTCTTCTTCGAGTCTGCACGTTTTCAATGATAATCTCCTTTACCACCCTACGTATCTCGGTTTGTTAAACTTTTACGCCCGTTGTTTACGCCTGGTTCCGGTTTCTTTTCGCGTTCCTCGAGTTAAGGGTCGCACGTGGCGCAGAAAGCGGGGAGAAAATACGACGTCTTAACCGTTTCAAGGGTTGCAAAAGTACTTACCGTGGGGATGTGTCGCGTGCGCATATGGTACATGCATCATTGCGGTTGGAACGAGGCGAGGTTCTTCAGCGTTTATCTACCCTCCTGGCTCTCCGCTATTGCCAGAATGCTGCGATAAGAATAGAGATTCGCGCGACCACTGTGCAGATAACGTTTGTTCCAAAAAAGCTTTACGATTCTTGTTGAACGAGGATAAACGAGCCTGGCCTGTTACTGTTCCGAAGAACAGGAAACGGGTGCAAGGGAGGGCACGTAGAAGTGGAAGCTTTGTTAAGTTACACCGGGAAGAAACTTTTCACCTTTAATTGGAATATTTTCTAAGGTTGAATAAAATTGAATGGGCGAATAGAGGTTGGAATTGAAAATAGTTTCAGGAGTTCGGGGATGAATTATGATATTAATAATGATGAAAGTTTAAGAGAATAGGGAATATCTCTGTAGAATTTTAAAGCCTCGAAAAATTAGAATATCTCAATAATTCATCCCTTCGATCATCCGCGCCTTTCCCCTGGGACAAAGAATTCGATTTCTCCGAATCCTCTGTCAGAAAAAAAAGGGAAAATGAAAATATTCATCTTAAATATGCTGGCTTCGTTCTTCATCGACACGAAATCCAGGCTCGTAACTTCGGTTCGCGAGGCTCCACCCCCTTGTTGCAAGCTTCGCAACGGAACAATCTCGGTTTAGATCGAACCACCGACTCGGTTCGACGTTTCTTTTCTCCCGAGTGTCGTTACCACGCGAGCGAAGCAACGCGACGCGAATTTCGATTCGCCGTTTTACATATGCTGACGATCGAGTCGCACATGGGACCCTCCTCGAGGAGAAAATTTGATGTACTAACCGTTTCGCGGGGAGACAGCACGCGTAGGGGCGACATGTTTCGCATCTGCTGCATGTTTTGATAAAAACTAGCGGCTGCTGCGCGCCGAGGGTGGTGTCGGCCGTGTAAATCACGGGAACGATGTAAAACACGATCGAAGAATCGATGAGCGCAACGAACTACCTTTTTGGGGTGTACTAACCCTTTGCCACTCTTGGTCGAATCCTTTTATCTGTCTGTTCTTTGGGATAAAGGATAAAATTGGGATAAAGGATGCGGTAATTTCGGTTGACTAAGCGTGTGCCTAGATAAATCAATAAACGGCTTTTTTCCCCGACGCGTCCGAACCCACAAAAATTGCCCCTATGGCAACCCTTCCCCGATATCGGGCTACACGCGATCGTATCGGAAGAGAACAAACGAGCGTTTTACTTTCAGCGGTCAGATAATTTTCACGATCCTTTCTCGCTTCGAATACTTTTCGTCGTAACTGAAAGTGTCTCAAAGGTAACATACCATCATCTATCATAATGATGGCTTAATGGAACATCACAAGGTGATCAGGCATTGATAGAAATAAAGTCTAACAACAGCATGCTTCGAGACCGGAAGCAGCCTGGTACTAGTATATCGTCTAAACGCCACAAAACACCACCACCTAACAGTGTGCAGGGAGGTTCGATCGAAGCGACGAGTTCGCATCGTTTAACGGGGGTCGGTCAGAATCGTGTGACATAGTCTCGGGCTTCTTATTAGTCATAGTCACGATGGGTCGAGAGAACCCCTCGTGGACAACGTATCGAATATACGTAGTAGATGTAGGTATACGTGCGCAGGAGCCTTCGGTAAAAGGGGGGCTTCGAACGAAGGGGCGCGCCCCTAGTGTTCCGTACACCCTGATGTCCTAGCTAGTGTTTCGTTCGCCGCTTACCCGTTCACCTCATCTTCGTGGTCGTGCTAACAAAATAACGACGAATAACCTTCAACCGGATTCGACGCTGTTTATTTCGCGTTTGGGGTGAAATGTTTGTTTAACCAGGGTGGAAGGTGTTGGGTGGTCGAAAATCCAGTTTCTCTGCGACACAGAGATGTTGAATCGTTGTCGAAGGGATGTTAGAACGATAATTCGATAGAATCTTGTAACGTGGAGGGTTGTAGACGATTGCGAGAGGATACAAGATGGAGTTATTATTGTGACTATGTTTAGACGTTTCTAGAAGTTAAGTTAATGATTCGCATTTAGTAAAGTGTGAGGACGAAACAAAGAGATGACAATTCGGATTTATGTGTCGAGGGGTGACGAGCAATAATTCGTCATTGAACGACGATCATGGGGCTCCTTAGAGCGTCTCCCTCCATCGCGTTGTTCAGATCTGACTCAAAATTTCTCGAGTTTTTCGGTGAAACAAGAAAGAATGAGGCGTTTGTCTGGCACACACTTCTACACGGGAGAGCGTGTAAGATGGCAGATGATCAACGTGCAGCATTCTCGAATCGGATTTGCGAATATCAGGTAACTTTTCTTCTTCTGACTCCTTCGAGATTTTGTTTTCGGTGACTTGAAAAGGAGGTAATTGCATGTTTCATGTTTTTATGAGCTTCGGTTTTATGGAACTTCCTGTTCACCCCTTAACAATTCACCCCTTCGCATAGATTTAAACGCACACTGTTACTTCCATTGTTTACACTTACCGGACACACTGACCCTATTCTGTAGATTGTACTTTGGCATATTTTTTATTGTTAAACAAATGATTTTAACCCTGAATAAGGGTAATCAGTGAAACTGTAAGACTGATTCCCAAGCCACCCACAGCTGTGCTGGAACCCTATCGTGAGGGAAAATCCTCTCGAATTCCGCTTTAAGACGTCGACTTTAATTCCCGATCTCTTCCTTCTTTGCGGATGGATTAGATGGAGTAAACCGCAAGCTTTTTGCAAGCGTATGCGTGCCGAGCGAAGGATGTTGACACGAAACGGTCGAGAAAGGCTGCCCTACAGCCAGGCCACGGCTAACCCGGTTGACAAGGGTAAAGTAATTGATACTGACGTTGGAACGGCTGACCATGGAGCGAGTACAAGCGGAACATCCAGCGGAATTATGGGATTATATTAATACGACCGTCTGTGACGGGCCACCCTGCGTTCGCCAGTTTTCACGGTTCCTCCAACGGAACGTTCAACAAAGCTAGAATAAATTCTCTCTTATTACATACTCCCCAAATGAATCTTCCCTGAACATCTGATCAAATAATCGTCTTCTTCGGGGTTGCGTTGAATCGGACCAACGATCTATTTCCTCGAGACATATTGAAAATACTCGTAAAATATATTAACTTTTCTATCATCTCGTCCAATGAAACAAATAATCATCCAACTCTCCCCTAACTCCGCTCCCATAGAAAAGCCTCGTTCAAGGCATCGCTTGTATTCTGACCAACGCGTGTGGGGTCGATATTTTTTCATGACGGGCGATCAGCTGCTAAGGGGTCGAAAGTTAATCCTTTAGTACAACTTAAGGATCGTTTGAATGCCCAAATGGTCGCGTCTCCTTCGCTGTCTTAATTCGCGACGTATAGAAGGCCGGTGGTGCACACCGGGATCCCTAAATCAGGATTAACGAGCCAGATACAGCAGAGTCGTAATCCTTCGCGTAGCAGACTAATGTCTCGTTCACGCACGTCGGATATGTTTTAACTCGGATACGCTACGGATATAACGCGTTTTAGCCGGTGGGACCCTTGGTTCGTCGCGTGTCCTGCGAGTACGTTTAGTCATCCTATTCGCAGTTAGGCGGCACGTTTAATATTAATTTCGCTTCTTAGCCCTCCTCCAGGGATGAGTCAGTGGATCCGGATGAAGATCCGTCTGGATATTAAAGTTCGTGATATCGTGGACCGTAAACGATGTTAAATCGTGATAGTTAGGTGTATATTGGATGAGGTATGCTTTAAGTTTCCAACCGTCTAATTAATTTTCCACTAAAGTATCCACTGGACCAAGTATCCCAAATATAAATGGAATGAATATAAAGCGGAGAACTGTGCTTTTGGTCCTGACGAGTAGGCTACTGTAAAGCATTTTACTATTATAGATGTGATAGCATTTACTATTATAGTTCACTGCAAATCCTCGAGTTCGTAGGGTACAGTGGAAGAAAAGTGATGTAGAGCAGAACGCGCGTAGCATGAGAATTGATTGTGTTCGCCCTTCTTCTCCCTTTTCTTCTGTTCACGAAGAGGAAGAGAAAGAGGAAGGTCGAATAAGACGAACAGTTTTCCCGCGGCGGTATCGAAGTTTCTCTCGCAGAGGTCGCTCGAGTTTCGATGAGGCTTCACCGGCTGAATACTAAGTACCTGGCCGAGGGGAACAGGAATGGGGGACAGGATCATCGTGCACGTTTCCCCGGGGACGTCTACTTGAGAAAAATGATCGGACGAGACGTTTCCACTCGCCAGACACGCCGAGTTTCTGTAATAAAACGATCCTTCGGGGCTTCCTCGAGTTGTCGCGGGTCTAGTGACTTTTCGCTGCCTGCGGTGATATCGTGTTTTTATGGACGAACGATGGAATTTTGATGGTAAAGTTGGGATCGTTTAGGGCTACAAGAAAATCTGCCATTTCTTTCTCTTTCCAACCCCCTTTTTTTATATCATAGCGTGTTGGTTTTTTCATTGTTTTATTAATCAGGATTTTCTAATGGAAAATTGTTATTGTGAAAATTCTATTTTCGAGATGATGAACGCATGTTTTGAAACACTCTGTATCCCCTGAGGATCGAACGTCGTTCTTGATATTCTTGTTCTGTTCTCTGGCTTTGCGAACCCTAATGGCGGCGAGCAATCGTGCCAGCCGACTGCGATGTACGTCGGGTTGCCTGACTGCAGGTGCAGATTGCACCGTAAGTAGAGAGGGCTTTCTAGATTCTCGGGAACAAAGATCCGCTTCCTATTTGTCCGAGATACATATTTGTTTGAAGTAGACGAGCTCGGCTGCTATGCATCTCAATTCAAAAAGTCTAGTCTCGGCGAAGCTTCGATTCAAGATGATACGAACAAAGCTCTATTCCGAGACGTTCCAATATAGTTTTAATCGTTCAATTAAAAGTTTCGATAAGAAGATTTTTAATACTTTTTGAATTTGAATAAAATTCCAAATAATCGAAACCTCGTATGTGCTTGACTTACTATGAACCTGTAAACACGAAGTTATGAAAATCATAAATTCTATGAAATGTGCGGCCATCAAAGTTAATCCAATATCATCATACCAAAGAGCAATCATAAGTTCATAAGGTGGTGGATACTTAACCGAGCGCCCCTTCCTTATTCATCCCGCATTAACGTCACCCATAACAGACGCAGCTCTAATTCGCTGAGCTGCCGCGTAAAGTAGCGCCATCTCTCGCCGCGGGAGATCAAAGAACACAGGCAAAGACGGCGGGAATAAAGTTCCAGATAAACAGCCGGTGAAACGCACGGTCGGAAACCGCCATGGAATCGCGAACCCTCGTACGATCCTCGTAACTTAATTTTACATTCTGAATAAAGCACCACGACCGGTCTTTGTTTTTATCAGTCAAATTATGAATGCGTCAACTTATGGACGCCATTTCCTAGAGACATTATCCCTTCTACCACTTCTCGCGTTCTCACTCGACTATCCATCGACACGGCCAGGGGGTATAATTTGTCTTGATTCAACTTGCCCCGTGGTAAGCAATCGCGTAGCGGGCACGGTTCGACGAAAAGGTGGAATTCCGCTACATACAGAAGATTCACGTCACGCTCAAAGACGTCGGGACGCTGTAATACCGGGTCGGAAAAGGTCTGCTTGTTATTCGAGGCGCGAGTTTCGTCGGTATAGGGAAGGGTCGTGATTGAATCTACCGGGCCGGCCACGGTCCAAAGAAACACCCTGCCAGCATTTATATCCCCTGGGATTCGCCACTCTCCCCCTTTTCTGTTCTTCGCCTACCCTCCTTTTGCGAGCTACGACAGGAATAGTTTTATTATAGCGAACACGTTGACCATAACGTGCGAGGACCTCCCATGGACCCACCCCCGTAGGCAACCATCCCTCTTGGCGTCTCGTAGACCGCCTTGTTTGGAAGAAACACTTCGTGCTCCTTCTTTGTGGGTAATGATTCTCGTACGTGAAGAAACCCCATGGCGATTTCATTGAACCGTTCAACAATGGCTTTTTTGTCCCTCCCAATACATATGGATTGGTTTTTATGGAGATATTGGTTAGGGTCTATTTTGCATGGTCGTTAGTAGTTACTGGAGGAACGATGAGCTGGTTGATTTTGGGAACGAATCAATTCGATGGGGTCCTTTGACCCTTGGTCTCATCTGGGAGTCTTAAAATGTTAAGTACCAGCTTTAGGAAGATACATTTTTGGCATCGATTAATATATTTTAATAAATCAAGTGACTACTCGGTTGACCACATGTCCAACAAAGGGGTAGGGGTAGTTGGTACTCGTTTGGGTAATAAAGAGCGATGAGGAGGGCGATTCCGAAGGTGGACTAATTCGATGGGTTTTCTGGGATTTGCGTTTCCCGCGGGGAACGTGTAATTGCAGGGATTGAAGGTTGAATTGTATCGCTTTTTGGAAATCATGATTTACAAGCGTGGTTGGGGCGATTTTAGTCTGCTTGAAAAATGAGACAGTTTTAACTGGTCACCGCAATACTGTAACAAACAAAATGATTGCTCCGATCATAAAATTTTACTACATCCATTAATGAAAAAACCAATCGATCAGACTTGGAACGAATTCTTCCATCGTTTGATCGTTATTAAAATCTGTGGAAGAAGAAGGTTTTCAGACGGACGGGAAGGGTCGAGAGAAAAGGCGACGGTAAATCCGGATTTAATAGAGAGTTCTCCGTGTGAATTTCCTTTCCATATCGTCCGTAGACCGGTAACCCCGGGACCTGACGTCGGCATATTGCATTATCGGCCGACTTATGGGATCCCATATTCAATATGATGCTGCATGTAACCGGGGGCCAGAGGGATCGCGCCCAGCGAAACCCGGCCTTCAAGGTGAAGCATATTTCAAACGCGAGTAGGGTTCCTCGGGTCCGGGGATGCTTCAGGATCGTGTATCATATTCAATGACACGAAACACGGAGAAACGAACGGCGTTGAGACGTTAAGAAACGACTTGAGAAAGAGGTAATATGAAATAACTCTTTGCAATGATGAAATATGGAACGGAAGTCTTTGATTATTTCAAGCTCGGATCTGGACGTACACTATCAACCAAAAGTTTATCGTAAGGTTCAAAATAATTTAAAAAACCAAAGTTCATATAGCGTACGATGTTGGATCGAAGGGATTAAGCTTTGCCTGGTTAGGATCAATGAGTAATAGAGATCCCTGCGTTTGACTAATTTGATACATGAATTTTCTGTTACACTCACTGATTCCCAGTATCACTTGTCTCGCAGATGAATTACCTTAAGTGGTTGAAAAATCACCGGTACCGTTACCAGGCACGTC